AAGGCCGTCACTGAGGGACCCAGGAGGGGACCTTGCCCACAGGTGCCTGGGACCTTGCCCACAGGTGGGTTGGCAAGAGGGATGAGAGCCATGGTTGCTGGATGCTGACCTGGAAGGGGCCCAGCACCCAGCAGCCTGTAGTGGGGGTGCCTGGGGCCAAGGCCTGGACTTGGAGCCTCTGTGTCCAGCTGTCAGTCCACCAGGCAGGTGAGCCCTGCAGGTCTTTCTCCTCTCCTGGGACGCCCAGGGCCCGGCAGCCGCACCCTCCACTGTGTCCCGTTGGGCCTGGTTGGCCGGCTGCTGGAGGGGCTGCAGGAAGGCCCAGGAGGGCCCTGCCCCTGCCCTCGGCCTTTCCTCTTCCCATCTGACCACACGTCCGTCAGCCCCTGCCCCAGCGTGGGAATTGGCGGAGCCTGATCCCAGGTCCTGGGCCTCCCTTCCTCCATGCGGACACAGTGCAGGGTCCACAAGCCCAGAGGGTCCTGTGTCACACCGTGACCCCTGCTCTTGTCACTGTCCCCAGCAGCCCCCCGCTGTCCCAGCTGTGGGGTTTTAGCCTGGCTCTGCGGGCCTGAGCCTGGCAGCTTGCTCTCTCCTGTACCTGACCCTGCCATCCACCTGCCAGCTCATGCCACACACTGCCTTGCACTGACCTGTGCACTCTGTACTCACACACGTGTGCACACATTTAAGCTAAGATGCTTCTGCCATTGCACACCCACTCAAACTTGCACAGACGCGCTCAGCCACAGGCTCACACTCCTGTGTTCACTCATCCGTACAGGCACAGGGTCTGCACACTCACAGTCACACTCAGCCCACGCGTTCCCACACCCACAGACAGTCCTGTGCACTCACCCACCCAGAGCTTCTCCTTTCCAACCCCAGCCCTGCAGCTGGGACCTGTCCAGAGCCATCTGTCCACGGCATGCTCGGGGCAGTGGCCGTATCACCTCCCTAGCACTTCCCGGTGCCTGGGGTCTACCCAGAATTCTGTGCTGTTGCCATCTCAGGTACAGTCCTGGGGACTTACTTGGTGGCCTCGGTGGGCATGGGGGGCTGTCACTTGTCTGTCTAGCCAGGCGGCTTGTCTTTGCAGGCTGGTGGCACCCAGGGCCCTTGCTCGAAGGCCAGTGCTCTCCTCTGAGCTCACCTCCAGCCCTGGCCAGGTGTTGATTATGTTTGGTTTTGGTCCCCGGGGGTTCTGGGGGTCGCAGTGATAGGGACAGCTTGCCCGGGGCTGCCGTGGGGAGCACAGGCTATGGGAGGGAAGATGACAGTGGCCCTTGGATGCAGGGTGATCCTGAGTGCCACAGGGGCCCTTCTTTCTGGAAGGTTCTGGGTGTGCAGTCTCTGCTTTCTAAACTGGCTGTGAGGAGCCCAGAGGCATGGGGACTCGGGGCGTCTTCCTCGGCTCCCAGGGAGGTGTGCGAGGCCTCCTGAGCTGCGCTGCCCTGAGCCCGCCAGGCCCGCGCCCCCTGGTGGAGCCTGGTTCTCACCTCCCAGGCTGGTCTCGGCCTTCACGCGCCAGTGTTGTGCGACCATCCCTGTGCCTTCCCTGTGTGGCTGGCGGGCGGGGTCAGGACAGCTGGAGCCCGGGTCAGTCTAGCTCTAACCTCCTCTGCTGGTGGTTGGAGGGACCCTGGAGGAAGATGCACCGGCTGGGCTCTTGCCCTGATCAGGACGCCCTGGGGCACAGCGAGACCCCCACCGGCTCCTCCTTGGCTGGCGCGGGCAGAGCCCCTCAAGCTGGTGGGAGCAGCAGGTGGGAGCTGGGGCCAGTCGTCGTCACTGCCTGCTGAAGTGGACCCTCTGTGTCCACAGGACGCAGATCCAGTCCTGGGGGCTGGCAGCTGTGTCCCTGGGTCCTGCCTTGCTCTGGCCCCTTCTCCCAGCCCCTGTGAAGTGGGCCTTCCTGTCCCACCAAGGGGACCTTGGAAAGCTGGCTGTTGGTGTGGGCGTCAGAGCTCACTCCTGACACAGGCCGTGCTGAGGAATCGGTCCCTCCCTGTTCAGCCAGGTCTGTAAGTCGCCCTGCATCAGAGCCACCTGTTGCCATCCAGGACCCCACACCTCTGTCTACCCATAGGTGACTCCGCCTTCATCAGAGCCGCCTGTGGGTCCCCGGTGGTCACCCTAGCCAAAGTGTGGGCTCACCAGACGCATGCGGGCCAGGCCTGGCTGGAGCACTACCGGGCCATCTCCTTTACCATCCTGTCCATCACAGGTCTTGGTGCTGGGCTGACCCCCAGGTGCAGATAAGGGACCCAGGCCCAGCTGTGGGAGGGGCTGTTCCACATCTGGAACATTCTGGGAATTCAAGGTGGGTGGGGAGGGCCCCAGGGCCCCCTGAGGCCTCTTGGCCTGGCCCTCAGCACCCAGTTGTGCAGAGGTTGTTGAGACATCACAGACGCTGCCTTCACGTGCTGACCACGGCATGGCCCTCCAAACCTGCCAGCACCCTGGGGACAGGAGGCCTGAGTCCCTCCCAGGCTTGGCCGTAGGAACGTGGGGCAGACCTGCCAGCTTCGCCCAGAGCAACGCCTGGCCCAGGGAGGCGGGGACAGTTGGCAGGGACCAGTGTCCACACCTCTGGGTCCCAGTCTATAAACCAGCGGGAGACGCCCTTCAGCTCTGGGGGCTTGACCTGCTGGCTCCAGGGCCCGAGGGTGTCACTCTGTGTATGTGGACGTCAAGGTGGGAGCCTGCACATTGTCATTTTTTTTTTTTAAATATTTATTTATTTATTTTTAGTTTTCGGCGGGCACAACATCTTTGTTTGTATGTGGTGCTGAGGATCGAACCCGGGCCACACGCATGCCAGGCGAGCGCGCTACCGCTTGAGCCACATCCCGAGCCCCACATTGTCATTTTTCAGAGGGGTTAATTGAGGCTTGCAGAGGTGAAAACAGGGGTGACAGAGTATCAGGGCTGGGGCCTGAGCAGGTCTTAGACCCCCAGCTGACCTGTGCCGCCCAGACACTGGCCCATGTTCAGGTGCAGTGGGGAACTGAGGGAGGCGCTGGAGATGAGTGGACAGTTGGTCACTGGAGGAAGTCCCCCTGCCGTGCATGTCCTCCCCCCCGGCCTGAGCCTTCCCTCCACCTGCCTGGCCCTCAGGGGACAGGGCCCCTTGGTAGCTGCACGTCCCGTGGTGCTGTGGGCCCAGGTCCCCTCTGCCTGGCCTTGCATTTCAGACAGCTTCTCCCGGGGCCCCTGAGGTCCTGTGGGAGCAGCTCCTCCAAGCCAGCAGTCACGAGGGATGTCCCCAGGCAGGTCCCCAGCCACCACCTGGCATTCACGAGATTCACGGGTGTTCCAGAAACCGGCACGTCAGGAGTCAAGCAGGTCCTCGCTCCGCAGCCTCTGGGGCCGGGCCTCCTGGGTGCCTGTTCTCTGCCCCACGTGCCCCACCCTGAGCTCACGGAGCAGGCCACACGTCCCGCCTGCACTGAGGTCCGAGGCCGGAGCAGTCCCTCGGGTGTGCTCCAGGCATCACGTTCCTCATGAGGGGCAGCTGCTGTCCCTGTGCTGTCCAGTGTGATGGGAACTTTGAGGACACAGAGCGGGCACAGACCCCCTTAGGGGGGCCTGAGAAGAGGGAGGTGGGACCCAGCCTGTGGGGACAGGGGTACTTGCCCCACCTTGGAAGTGAATGCTCAGCCTGGGAGGGAAAGGGGTCTGATGGCCAGTTGACCGCTTTGTCCCCACCTCTAAGACCCCATGGTCAGAACTGGACACAGGCAGGGGCACTGAGCCCGGGATGAGCATAGACAGGGCAGAGCCCCAGGGTTGGGCCCCGGAGCTGCACCTGCTTCCTGCCAAGGGTGGCCATCTTGGCTGCTGGGCTCTGTGGTCTCTGGGCAGTGGAGGCCCTCCTGGGGAAGAGCAGGCACGGCTGGCCTTTCTCCAGGTCACAGAGCCTCGGGCACTGATGCCTTCCTGCCACACGGGCCCTGGCGCCCCAGCACCCCGTCCCGTGTGTGTTGGGGTCACTGTGGGCTTCTTCCCATGTCCCGGCTCCCCTGTGGCCCCCCTGTCCTCCTCGGACACAGCCTCAGGCTGCAGGCCTTGGGCTGGAGGGAGGAGGAGGCCAGGTGGGTGTGGAAGGCTGGGCCTTGAGGGGCCTGGGGAGGGAGGGTCCTTTGGGACCGTTCTGTGGTGGAGGGGTGGTTATGGACTGGGGGAGGTGCCTCCACCCAGTGGCAACACAGGTGGGTCCTCCTGACCCAGCACTTCAGTTGAAGAGGCTTGGGTCTGGGCATTGGCCTGGGCCCTGCTCACACCTTGCTGTGTGTCCTGGGGCCACATACTGAATGGCTCTGAGCCTCTGTCTCCTCATTAGGCAGTGCCTGGTCCCGAGGGCTGCTTGGACCATGTGCCTGGCCCGCTGGGGTGGGAGCAAGGGGATGGGGCAGGGGAGACGTGTGGACAGCTGCTCATTCCCCTGCTGTGCTCCGGGTGTCCTGGGGTGCTCCCCTGGCTGCTGGAGGGCCCTCCTCTGTAGAGTTCGTCCCTCCTCACTCCTGGCAGGAGGCCCCAGGGGTGAGGGTGGTTCACTCACCGTTTGGAGTGTCCACTTGCCCAGCGAGCATCCCATGGGGGTGGGGCACAGCCTTTCCACCCCACCCTGCACTCTGGAGTGTGGGGATATCCAAAGAGGGTCCCTCCTTGGGGATGGGGCCAGCTCTGGGGTAGTGGCTATGTGTGCCCCAAGACAGTGGGCTGGGGCTAGTGACCCTAGGCTGGGCCAGGGCTGCAGCCTATGAGCCGTCGCAGGCTCAGGGGGGTGTGGAGGAGGCTTTCCTCTGTCCAGGCTCCAGGCCTTGCCCCCTCCCCATCTCTCTGCAGGGCTGGGCGGGAATGGAGCCCAGTCTCTCGGAAGCAGAGGACAGAATTGGAGCTGGAGGGGGGACTTCCCGGGGAGGGGTCCTCTGGGACTGTGTCCTGGCAGGTCGTTGGGGCTACCCCAGCCTCATGGTCTCTGGTCCTCTCTGCAGCTGAATGCACTTCTGGGCTCTGTTTTAATGGTGGCCGCTGTGTGCCAGGCTCAGCTCAACTATGCCACTGTCCCCGAGGCTTCCAGGGTCCCCGCTGTCAGTACGGTGAGTGGAGTGCCTTCTAGCACCTGCGGCCAGCTGGTGGGTGGAGGGGTGGGAAGTTGGGGACTGGACAGGTGGGCAATCTCCTGGGGACCTCTGCTGATCCCCTCTCCTGGCTCTCTGCAGCCTGACTGGGGGAGGTGGGAGGAGCGGCCCCCCAGCAGATACCTCTGCACCACCTGGTCTCGGAGCCCACCCTGTCCAGCCACATGACAAGAATGCAGGGCCCAGAGAAGGGTGGCGAGTAGTGGGGACCGGGCCTGGGTGGCACCGCCCCCGACCAGAGCCCTCACTGTGGTACTGTTGAAAGACAAGGATGCCTGTTCCCAGCCAAGGTGAGGTGACGGGTGAATGGACCGCAGCACGCCACTGACCGCAAGCCCAGACAGACCATGAAAACCGGGCTGCGGCACAGGTGCCCGTGGTCAGGGAGTGCTGGTGGGTGAGAGCAGGGGCGACGGACCTTCTGAAGAGAAGTCCTGCAGGGCCTGGTCGGAAAGCGGCAGAAGAGCCTCCGCCAACGGGCGTCCCAGGCTCCTTGGGCCACTGAAGCGTGGCTCTGCTGTGCCTCAGCCTCCTGCTCTGCCAAGTCTCTGCCCCCCAGCTCCGCAGGCCTGGAGCCTGGACCTGCCGGCTCCCGGGTGTTGGGCTGCTTCCTGGGTGGGCCCGCGGGTCCTTCCCGCTGCATGCCAGGGCACAGTGTGAGAAGGCTCGACTGCTCGCCCCAGGATTCCCCTCGGGAGGAAAGTCCTGGGGAGTTGGAAGGAAATCAGAGGTCCCCATGTTGGTAAAGGTGACCCCACTCACTCCCTTTGTGGGACACTCCTGATGACCGACTCTGAGTATCTGACCGAGGACAGGGATCTGGCGAGGTCCTGGGGCGCTTAGCACTGTGAGAAGCCTGGGGTCTGGGGACTCTGCCAGCTCGCCAGCTGTCCTCTGGCCCTCTTGCTGGCCACCCCTGGGGCTGAGGGCCTCTGCTGCTGCTCCTGGGCTCTGCAGCAGGTGGCTCTTCCCTGTGGTTGAAAGGCTGTCTCTAAGTGCTGGGGAGGGTGGGTCCCCTGCCTCGTTGCTGCCGGAGGCCTCAGCTTCCTGGCCTTGGCCAGTCCCTCTGTGGGCTGGTCCCAGGTGCCACCCCTGCCCAGTGGCAGGCAGGGTGCAGCAGGACCAGGGACTCGGAGCCCACCTCACTCCTGGGAGTCCTGCCTGTGGCCCGGGTGGTACAGGCCCCTCGGGCCGTCCTGCTCCTCTGTCCAGCTGTCTTTTTGGGACGCGTGTTCTTGCCTCCAGCTTTGGGGAAACACCAGGGCTGTCGGGCTGGAGAGGGGTGGGGCTGGGGGTTGGCGGGGGCTACCCCTGGGAGCTGCCTTGGGGGTTCAGGGCAGGGTTGTGGGCAGATGGCGAGGTGGTGACCTGGGTGTTTGATCTGCCCTGGTCTTGTCCTCTGGGAGGGGGTGAGGGCCCCTGACCTTGCCCTCAGGGCTGCTTTCCACCATCCCCAACCCCCTCCTCTCCTCTGCCCAGCTCTGAGCCCTGCTGGCCAGGGCTTCCTTCACCCCGAGCAGCCTCCCCATCCCAGAGACGCTGACACGTGGCCTCCTGGGTACCAGAGGGTACCAGGGCTCGCAGCGGCTCTTTGTCTAGGCACCTGGTGGGGGGACTTGGCGTCTACTGAAGGCTCAGCGTCCTGTGGGGAGGGGCCTGGGCGTCCAGCAGGAGGATCTGTGTGGCCTGGGGTCAGGACAGCCCCTCTGACGGGCACAGAGGTCGCATTCGGGGATGCGGCTGCGTGTCCCAGACTCGCGGTCCCTGAACTCGTGCCTGCTCCTGGCCGCAGGGTGGTTGCTGCTGGGGAGGGAAGCCTGTGGCTCTGTCACCTTGCTGTCACCTGGCTTCGTCCATTTCCTGGGAGAGCATGCTGAGTGAGGTAAGGGAGGTCACTCTTCCTGAGCAGAGAGCCGGGGCCCAAGAGAGGTCTGCTGCAGCCAGCGCTTGGAACCTTCCCGTGGGGGCTGAGCCTCGGTCAGGGTGGGGCCCCTGAGATCTGGAGATTTGGAGGTGAGAGGGGCAGGGCATCTGCACCAGGAGGACCCATGACCAGCTTGTGGCCCTCTGAGGTGGGCTTCCTAGGAGAGTGGCCACAGAGGGGGCAGAGCAGTGGGAGAGTGGCTGCCCTCTCTCTTAGGAGAAAGGGTGAGGTACGCAGGGCTGGGCTTGTAGGGCTGATCCAGGGGTGCGGGGGCACCTCTTCTCCCACCCAAACCTCCCACCGTTCCCGCCACGCTCCCCAGCTGGGGCTTGGGCACGCAGACCTGGGCTCAGGCCCAGTTGGGAGTATTTAACTAACCCCACAATTATAATTGGTTCCAGTTTTGAAAGTAAAAACCATATTTTTCTGGTTCCCCCAAATTCTTTCATTTGGACCAAAGAGTTGGGGAGGGAGGAGGGGTCTCAGTTGGTGACTGTGGGGAGTGGCAGGGAGGGAGCCCTGGCGCCCTTCCCTCCAAGCTCAGTGCCCCTCCTTCCCCCAACCCAAGTCAGGCCTTGCTGCGTGGACCCACCCACTGCCCAGAGGCCAGTCGATGTGCAGGAGGCCTCTGGAGCACAAAGCAGAGCCTGTGCCGGGTGGTCAGATGCCGGGCACGGCCTGCAGCAGAGCTCCCCCCAGAAGGAGGTGGGGGGACAGCCCCGGGCACAGCCTGCAGCTCAATTGTCCAGGACCAGCTCTGGTGCCTTGGTGACAGGGTGGCCTACTCAGCCTCTGGGGCCCTGGGCCCCCTGTTTTGCGGCATGAGGTGTGCCGGTGGAGATGAGCCCAGTGCTGGCCTGGTGGAAGGGTCAGGAAGGGGTCCGTGGCTCTGACCGTGACAGTGATAAGGAAGTTCTAGATGGGCCACCGAGGTGGACACAGGGCTGAGCTGGTTCTTGGGCTGACCACACACGGGACCCTGCACCTGGGTGAGGCACAGCTCCCTCGTGGCCTCTCTGCAGGACAGCCAGCCTGTACTCCGCAGGTTAGCGCCTTGATTGTCAAACTGGGACACCCTGCCCCTCATAGGCCTCCAGGATCCCCTCCTAACCTCCATTCCTCCGACCCGCCAGGAGGGTCTTCACCAGCCAGAAATCTGGCTTTGTCCTGCCTCCACACTGGAGCCCTGCTGTGTGCCACTCCCAAGAGCAGGCAGGTGCCCCAGCCCCACCCCAGAACCTGCAGGTGAGCCATGCTCTGCAGGGCTGGCTGCGTTGAGTCTTCAAGGACAGGACAGGCCGGACGAACTTCAGGTCACAGTCCTGCTGTCACGGTGGTCTTTTGGCTACAAGTTGTGACCGTGACGACGGGTCATCTCCCATGTCTGTCTCAGCCGACCTTGTGGGATGTGGGAAGGCTGTGCCTCAGTGTCCTCCCCTGTAAATCGGGCAGGCAGTGTGGGGCTCTGAGGCGGTTCCACACAGGAGTGCTGGGCCCTCATTCCTGGGCCCAGGAGGCTGGTCAGTGTGGTAGCATGGCCAGGAGGACTTCCTGGAGGAGGTGGGCCTGTGGAAGGGAAGGGAAGTTGGGGGGTGGGGATCAGGCCAAGTTCCAGATGGGGGCAGGAGCAGGGGGATGGGAGAGAGAAGTGGTTTGGACTTGGAGGGCTGGGCTGGAGGGGAGGGTCAGCCAGGAATTTGGGGTCCCAGCCACTCTGGGTGGGATGTGGCGGGGGCCACCTCTGCTGGCCTGGCAAGTGCCCTGGGTGCTGCTTCTCTGCCCCACCGCCCCCCCCCCCCCAGCAGGCGTGGTCCTGCCTGCAGCCCTGCTCCCAGTCTGTCCTGGGGCCTTGCTTCTCCCGCCCTTGGGGAGCTGGTTTCCCTGCCCGAGCAGGAAGCGGGTGGTGGGCACCCCGTGGCAGGGGCTAGAGGCGGCTGTGGCAGCTGGTGGGGCCCTGCAGCCAGGCCAGGGAGCAGAGCCCCAGGGGGTGAGGGGTGGGAGCACCTGGCCTTGACTCGAGGGCGGCTGTTCCTGGGCTGGAATAATGGCTCCGTGGGGAGAAAGCCTCCTGCCAGCTCCCTCAATGCTGTCCTGTGTCTGAGGGTGAGTCCGACCTCGCCCCGGGTGCAGACGACACCAGTGCTGCTCCTGGCCACCAGCCTCCACCAGGCCTGGAGCAGATCCTGCCACCCCGGGACTGTGGCCCTCGGCGAGGGTGGGAAGGGAACCGGGCCGCCCTGCCTCCCTTGGTGTCTCCTGTAGGGGTGGGCCCTGGGCAGGGCCTCTCCGTCCAGCATGAGCCGAGGCTGGCCCACCTGAGCCCCTCTCCACCTGCCACCCGCCTGGGGTGGCTCTTCTGGGGCCCTCAGCTGCAGAGGCCCCGACCTGGGCCGGTTCCTCGGGAGCCACTTAGCTCCTGTCCTGAGGATGTGAAGATGGACCCTGACCCTGGGCTCTGGTTCCCAGCATCCACGCTGTTCCCTGCGCTTGTCCCCAGGCTCCCGTGAGCAGAAGGTGTCCCACTTGGGGCCGAAGCTGGCTGTGAGGAGGCCCGTCCAGGGAGGCTTAGTGTTTGGTTGGGGAGGGGTCCCAGCATGCACTGGGGGGGCTGGTGCACCTGGGGAAGACTCGGCCCACCTGGGGGCTTGCTCCCTGGCTCCCAGGCAGGGGGCCCGGGCCTGGGCGATTCCTGCCCCCAGTCTCTGTTGAAGGCTAGGTTCCCGGAGCAGAGTACCCAGAGCATTTGCGGTGGCCAGGTGGGCACACGGAGGGCTGACAGTGGTCCTGGCCCACCTCCTGTCAGGGCTCAGAGCTGGTGTGGATGTTTTGTGCTGGGGAGGGTGGGCTGCTGGGAAATGGGTGACGGGCATCTCTAGGACAGGGGCTTCGTGTGGTGCAGGACCCTGAGAGTGGAGTGGCAGTGGGCAGAGGAGACCAGCTCTGGACTCAGGTGTTGGGCTCTGCTCCTCGGAGTACCTGGCCCCTGGCCCTGACCCTTCCTGGTCAGCCTCAGTCTGGCGGCCTCAGGTCAAGG